CATATCACTTTCAACCCTCTCCTTACAATCATCTATCTACACACAGACATCTGTCTCCTCCACTCTCATATATCTTTGGAATTTGACTCTCACTTAGCTCCTTTGCCTAAACTCTTGCCAGTATCCATCCAGATCACCCATATGGATAATTTATTCAACTTCATAACATCCCAATGTCAATGGTATTTTCTTCCTCTCTTCCAAATCCCTCCTATCTTTATACTGACTATATTCACTCTTAAACCACATTAGGATCATTAGACTTTCCCTGTATTCTTTGAATATATCAGCCCCACTACTGTTTTTATTTCTTTTCAGACGAATTAGTGTCCTTGTGGGTAATCACACAATCCATTTTCTCAATACTGAAATCAATTCCCTCCCCTTGTCCTGCCACCGTGCCTTTGTCACAAACATCTACCGCTAGATTAGTCTTTCAATATGCCTTCTCTCTTCCTCCACCTGTGTGACTAAGCATTGCTGAAGAAAAATGGTCAATTGTACTGAATGATTTTATCATGGCTTATAAGACATTTCTTCAAGAGATGCTTGATATCACTATTAACTGTGGAACTGCAAGGAAAAGAAATCCAGTGTTTCGAGGCTACACTTTTAATTTTACTGTCTGAATCATTCAAAACTTAATTACAAAGAATATAGTCAACAGAAGCTAGTTCAAAGACAAAGGATTTTGTTCTTATCTGGAGTGGAAGGCTAAAGAAATAGACTTTATGCTGAGCTTCCATTAAAAAGTCCCTAAACAACCTGGGACTGCAAAGGGAGCTGTTAAGAAGCTGTAAAATTGGGAATCTTCCTACTAATTTGGGAAGCCATAATTATATTTGTTTATTCTAGAATCACTACATGTTTTCTACCATAAAGAAGCCATGTCCCTCATTTTTAAAACATCAAAAAATAAAAGATGTTGGCGACAATGTAGAGAGAAGGGAATCCTTATACATTGTTGGTAGAATTGTAAAAATTATTCCAACCTGTATGGAAAACGATATGGAGATTTCTCAAAGAACTAAAAATAAAACTACCATTTGATCCAACAATCCCACTCCTGGGTATATACCCAAAGGAAAAGAAATCATTATACAAAGACACTTGCATTTTTATGTTTACAGATGCACTATTCACCATAGCAAAGATATGGAATCAATCTAAGTGTGCATCACAGATGATTGGATAGAGAAAATATGATATTACACACACACACATGCACACACACAATGGAATATTACTCAGCCACAAAAAGAATGAAATTGTGTCCTTGACAGCAACATGAATGGAACTGGAGGCCATTAAGCAAACTAACTCAGAAACAGAAAGTCAAATACTATATGTTTTCATTTACTGGTGAAAACTAAATAATGTGTACACATGGATATAGTGTGTGGAGTAATAGACATTAGAGTTTCAGAAGGGTAAGAGTAGGTGAGGGTGATAAATGAGAAATTACTTAATGGTTATAATGTGTATACTATTTGGGTGATGGTGACACCAAAAGCCTAGACTTCACCATTATGCCACATATCCATGTAACAAAATTGCACTTATACCCTCTAAATTTATACCTATAAATAAGTAAATAGCCATGTCCCCAGTTAAGAAGTTGTCAGCAGCTATGTAAACCAGAAGAAGCCAGCCTTCAAACTGCACCCCAGTGATCTTTGCCTCTTAGTATCCATGCCCTTGTGTTGTCCTCTCCCCCATTGAATAGGGCTGATTTGTTGGACCAACAGGGTACTCCGGAAGAAACAGTGTTTGTCTTTTGAGACTATGTCATAAAAGATATTGCCTCTTCCACTTTTCTCTTTCTTGGATCACTTCTACCAGAGGAATCGAACTACCATGTTATGAGAACATTCATACAATACTCTGTGGAGAAATCCACGTGGGGACAAACAGACAGCTCTTCCAATAACTAGCACCACTTGCCAGTCATGTGAGTGAGCCACCATGGAATCAGATCTTCCAGCTTCAGCCAGGCCTTTGACTGCAGTCCCAGCCAAGATATGACAGCAATCTCAAGAGAGACTCCAAGGCCAGAATTGGCCAGCTAAGTTGCTCTTAAATCCCTGACCCACAGAAATTGTGAGAGAGAAAATGTTTGTTGTTGTTTTAAGACACTAAGTTTTGGGGTAATTTTTACTGCAGGAATAGTACAGGGATCAACTTCCTAAGCATTAATCCTTGCTTCAATGTGCACTGTCCTTCCTCTCCTTCATCGCCCGCTCCGATGATCTAAGGTCAAGAGTTGAGAGTTTGTATAAGTAAAATCTGCAGTTCTCTGTGAATGGACTAGACTCTTTCACCTTCTAGTTCATCCTTCACTAGATTTCTAATAATGGTTCCTATTGGACTAATCTCCCACAGATAACAACTATATCTGGACAAATATATATATGTGTGTGTGTGTGTGTGTGTGTGTGTATACATGTGTATATATATGTATTTATATATTTATGGATATATATGTGTATATATATACATGTGTGTGGATATATATGCATATATTGTATACACACACACACACACGCACACATACACACACATATTACAAACTGCCCTTGGACAAAAATTTTAAAAAATCATTTGTGTATGTATAGTATATATATATGTGTGTATATATTATATATATTTGTATATATACTATATATAAATATACATATTTATATATGCCCACACTACCTAAAGACATTGGACAAAGGCCAAAAAGCAGGCAGATACTGAAGGACAGTCATCACTTCGAAGGCAAATAAACTTGATTAATCATCAGGGATTTTAAAAAAATTGCCTAAGGGCAGGTTGTATTATGCACTATGCTGTGGTTTAAGGTAGGGTAGGCTTAAATGAAGACAGAAAGCCTATAGTCTTACTGGCTTGACGAAACAGAAGAGAGAGTAAGGGCAACCACCGCAACTGAAAAGTGAGGAGGAAAATCTCAGAAAGGAGAGCATCCCCTGACAAGGGGATCCTTAGATTCTATAATTTCTGATTGATCACTGAACCACACATGTGCAGACTGGGAGTGGATGCAGACTCCAAGCAGTCCAACTAAGTTTAAAAGAACCAAACTGAGATTTCAGCTATTATCTACTGAAGTGGAGACAGTTTTCCATTTGAGTTCAGCACATTTAACTGCCTCCCTCTTCCCTACATACACACACACACACACACACACACACACACACACGCATGTGAAGTTCTGTGGTACCAAACTGTGAGCAAGCAGAACTAGGAATTTTGCTTGTTTTTATGAGGTCCAAAAGGTACATAGAAAAGTTCTGCGAGATTTCCAGTGGGAAACCGGTTCTCTAGAGAGAGGCTATTAATTACTCTTTAGAAATGTCCCCAAATTTTGATGTAGCATATTTATTTTTGAAATATCACCGTGCATTCATTCATCTTGAAATAGTCTGTTAATCTTTTTGGGAAAAGTGCTTGCAATATTCCAAGTCATCAGGTAAATTGGTTTGAAGAAATCCAAGGAGTTCCTTAAATGTCAGCTCATCTTCAAGGCTTGAACCTTTCAAGGTATGGGGCAAAGGGCACAGGCTGACGTGTCAAAGACAAAAGAGCTTTAACACAGGTAGAGGCACATATATGCTTGCCTAATTGTGACAAATTATCTCTTGAAATTTTCTTTTTTTATTTCCATAAGTTTTCGGAGAACAGGTGGTATTTGGTTACAAGACTAAGTTCTTTAGCGGTGATTTGTGAGATTTTTGGTGCACCCATCACCCAAGCAGTAAACACTGAACCAAATTTGTAGTCTTTTATCCCTCACCCTATTCTGACCCCTCTTGAACTTTTCATGGTTTCCAATTTGTCACTATTTGATATTCCTCTATGAGCCATGCCATTGACCTTTATCTGATACATTTGAAGAAGACAGAAGTGAAAGAGTGGCTTCTAGTATGCTTTGTGAACAAAATCATGTGTGTAAATAGAGTGTAAACCTATTGACAGTTCAGCAATTGCCCTGCCTAATATTTAAAAAAATGTTAAATCTGCTTTCTGTGTTAAACCTCTGTATGTTAGAATTCATTTATTGTTTCTATGAAGTCCAAAAGGTACACAGTAAAGTTCTGCAAGATTTTCAGGGGGAAACCAGTGTGAAACATCATTCACTTAGTCATTTTGTTTAGGAATAGATTGTGAACCAAACATATTCTGAAAATGGAAGAAAAATTTCAAGGTTTGCATGGGAGAGTTGAGGAGTCTGGCTACTGTTTAAAAACCAATGTGTGATTTTTCAGGCCTGATCATAGGCAATGACAAAGACTTTACCTGGCAGGCCTCACCAGGAAAGCTGCCCTTCACACACCAGACTTGGTGCACAGCCCGTATATGGCAGTGTCTGTGGGGTGCTGCACTCCAAGACTCAGACCCCTCTGGCCAATGATGCTCGTTCACATATTTGCATTCTGAGCTCAGTGCCTTCATTTCTAGGTCCTTTATCTGAGGCCTTGGGCAAGAGGACTTTAGGTTCCTCTGCTGAGATCTTATGGAGTAAGGAGAAGGGGAAAAGATTGAAGATACTTTTCTTCACTCTGCCTCAGTACCCAGGACTTTTCCAGTCCGACCCTACCACCTAACTTCAGGGTCCATAAAACTGCCAGAGCCTTTTGTTTGGGGCTCCCTCAACAGAAAGATGACCCCACGTCTGTGCTACTCCACGTGAATCTTGACCAGTGTGCTGTCCTACAAGGGAAAATGGAACATTGAAATTCGTGTTTTCTCTGGTTTTAGACACTTCCTTGTTCCATCACTGTGATTAAAGGCTTAACTCTTTCATTTTCGGCTTGTGGCTTTAATTGGCTGCTTGAATACCTGACAGCTCAGCTCTCTCCCAGCTCAGCAGAGCTTCTAAAAAGACTAATTAAATTTTTTCCATTCTTAAAACACCACTAAGAATCACAATTCTAAATCCATTGACCATACTAAGCAAGTATGGCTGGTGCTTGATAAACAAAGTGAGTTCTGCTAAATTTGCTCCAAAACATTTTATTAATAAAAGTCTTATTTAAAAAACAAAATAGAAAAGATTAAGTATTATATTGAATAACATGTTGATAGCTTGTGTATGGTTATGTGTTCTAATTTCTCTGGGGTAAAGAAAGAAAGAGTAAATATAGTCATATAATTTTTTGAAACACGTCCAAGTACAAAAAGCAGCATGCTAATTTTTAAGTGCAAAGAAAGCTCATAATAAAATAGACTTTAAAAATTACAAATAAAAATCTGTACATCAAGGATATTTTTAAGGCTTTCCTGTGTGCATGTCATCATGTAGACAATGAAGAGGAACTGCCAAGAGAGGAATCATCACGTCAGGTGCTACAGGTCTGGCCCATTTCAGCTTGTAGGACCATCTCCTCTTTTCTCAAGGGAAAAGTGTCAATTAGGTTGAACAGGGCCACAGGCATCACCAGGGAGACATAGCGCTCTTTGTCCATCCCATGCTTATCTACTAGCACCATACTGAAGGAGTAGAGTGGGATTCGCAGCAACAGCCTGTGGCAGACAAAGAAAAGAGGAGACTAAGTCAAACCATGACTCCCAAGGGTCCTGGTGGATCAACCACAGCCCTACTGTAACAGAGTGTACAGAGAAAACCTTGATACCATGAAGGACTGAATCATCCTTTAGACCCTATCTACTCAAGGTGTGATCCTTGACCCAGCAGCATCACATGGGAACTTGATAGAAATGGAGATTCTCATGCCCCACCCCAAACCTACTGAATTAGTATATCCATTATTGTCAAGATCCCCAGATGACTGATATGTACATGAGAGGTTGAAGAGCACTGCTTTAGTTTTAGATTATGGTCAGGAAGACTTCAGGCCTGCAATGGTACCATGTACCAACATTTGGTACAATCTAAGATTTTATGGGAACAGATTTTTTTTTCATTAAATTGGAATCAACCCAAGTTTGGAGCCAACCCAAAATCCACGCTTGCTGACTGGTGTTGCATGACCACATACACACTAGGAATAGGTCAGTGATTATGAACAGGGGTGATTTTGCTCCCTACCCCCGGGGGAAATTTGGCCATGTCTGGAGATAGTTTTGGTTGTCACAGTAGGGAGTGGAGATGTGACTGGCATTTAGTGGGTAGAGGCCAGGAATGCTGCTAAACACCCTGCAATGCACAGCCAACCCTTCCTGCCAAACAAAGAATTATCTATCCCCACATATCAATAGTGCCAAGGCTGAGAAACTCTGGGCTAGGTAAAGCTGACTGAAATAATTTCCCAGCATGATAGTTCTGACCTATTCAGTGGCCAGCTCAGGATTGCAGAGTTATAAGGGATTGAGCTTGATCTATACCCCATGTATTCTGAGTTGGTTAATCAAAATTGTGTCCCAAATAATTCAAAAAAAAAATGAAGTAGTTTCAAGTGTCTGGTATTCTTTCTGCACTACCACACTAGAATTTAAACTAAAAAATATGTTTTTTATGTCAACACAAATATGTTTAGATGGGAATAGCTAAAGAAAACAAACAAACAGATAAGCTGAGCCCAATGAACAAATGAGCCCACTCAGTCTCTTCTCCAGATTTTTTTTCAGTTTAGATATTTTGAGATTGTGTATGAAGCAGAATATACACTACCATCTGGATTTAAAGTAAAATATGTTTTCCTCATACAAACAGATCAAGGTTAAAAAAATTGTTACATAAAACACAAACTGTACTTTTTCTGCCTTTTAAGAGGGAGTTTCAAGGATGAAGGGATTAATTTATATTTTATCCCAGTGGGGAGATAAATTGCCAATTCATTCCCATTGACTAGAAATGAAAGAAAGAGGACATGACAATGCCTCTGCCAGGTTTCCTGTGGTGCTAAGAGGAGACCTCAGAAGCAAATGATTGCAAAGTACATTAATCAGTTCTGAACACGCAAATGTAGGCTGCAAAGCAAGGTGCAAGTGAAGAGATCAACTGCTCTGCATATTTAAGAAGAAAGGTATTGAGTTTTCTTTTGGGAGTGTGGGGGAGTTCTGGCACAGGGAGCTCTCAGGAAAGAGAGGCATAGGGAATGTGGTGGCTGAAGCCTCTGGGAAAGGGTGACCAATAAGAGGAGCATTCAGGTTTTTTATCATGCTTGTGAGGCTAGGATGGGAATCCCCCACCACCACCACAGTGCCACCATCTGCTATCACACACATTCCTGTGTAAGCCTTGTGCCTTGATTTACACAGAATGTAAAGAGGGAAACTATCATAGGAAGAGCTTAGTGGTTGGATCAGCAGGCTAGCAGCACCCACAGGAATGCTTCCCACTAGGGCTGAAAGACCACAGAAATCTTAGGGATGAATGATTGAACACCACATAGAATATGGGATGAGGTGTGATGCTGACAGTATTTCTGAGTTAAATACGTGTCTGTTGTCAGATTGGAAGGAATTCTTCCTGGAAAATCTTCAAGGGAACTCTGTAGACTCAAAGAATAATGTGGGTATAGAAATTATGGCTTTCTTCATCCCTGTCATCCTTGAGATTGCTGGAAAATTCCTCTAGAAAGCATGAATCAGCTCATACATTCAGACAAAAAAGAAATGAGAGCAAGAAAGAAGGCAGGTGGTAATCCTGCAATACCAGGCACCCAATCTCTTCTTTGCATTGACTCCCTTCAACGGTTTTATCATGGCCTCGATGCTATTTGAAAATAGTATTATAGCCAGACAAGAGAATTTTTAGATTATCCAGGCATTGTGTTTTTCCTTCTCCTCTTTACCTTCCCGTTCTTTGCCTAAAGCATCTTTTTTCCTCTGCACTACAATCAAAGGTGTCTAAAGAAACCTTTCCAATTCAAAGGGAAAAAGTCCTGCCAAGCTCTTTGTTTCTCACTGATATGTCTGATAACACAGGCATGCTGACCTGACACCGAATCCATTAGGTAATGCATAATCATTTCTGAGTGATCATTTCTGCATGACATTTACCTGGACTATCATCCAGCTGCACAATACGGATTGATCCTTTTTGTGAAGGCTGCTGGGAAAAAATTCTACTTCAAAACTGTAAATAAAGTCTTTGGTAAAAAACTAAGCCAGTGGTCCTCACCATGTGGTCCCTTGGGAGCTCACTAGAAATGCAAATTCTCAGATACGACCAGAGACCTACTGAGTTAGAAATTGATTATGATTTATAGTTTAGAGCCCGCAGTGTAGACTCCAGCAATACGTATTTTAACATGCCCTCTAGGGGATTCTGATGCAGGCTAAAAGTTTCAGAACCACTATATAATGTATTTAAAATCATCTTCAACCTATAGAAGTCTATGGTAGCCCCAACATATACAATCTGAATGATAGAAGTATTTTAATCACATTTTTCTGTTCCTCAAGTAGATTAAACTGTTTAAAATCACATCAAGATTTTATGAAGATTACACACACACACACACACACACACACACACACACACACATTCAATCCAAAAACCATTCAGAAAATTCTGTAACAAGTTTTAAAAAACCATTGACACAGGATATGAGCAAGTAGTTATAAATAAGCAACAGCTTCATAAAACCTACTTTGAAAATATTAATTATAAATATTTAGCTATCAACACAGCTCTCTGTCTTAACTTTTGTACATTTCTACTTGAAGTATCTGTATATTAATTGTAAATATACAATATATTCTTAAAAGCTATTATCACCTCTGGAAATAGTAAGGCTGTTTAAATGAAATTTTGAGTCATTTACTACACTTAGTGCCAACATGGTGCCAGTTACTGTGCTAGGTACTGAGTAGCAAATATTCAAAAGCTCTGCTACTGACCTCAAAAGTTGGTATGGGGAGGTGCTAGATACAAATGCAGTAAAACAAAACAAATACAAAAGCATATGAGTGTACCCAGCCTTCTACCTTCATTGACCAACTAAAGAGAACTCGTGAATCCTTTTATTTTTTTTCCATCCCTGGCCCTCTGAGTTTTTTACCTTAGTGGGAATGCAGCAGAATTTTTTGGGTGGAAAGTGGTATAGATCAAACATGGGATGGGCCAAAGGCAGCTGGAAAACAGGGAAATTCGAGAAAGAAGCTTTTGTGCCAATCTATAGCATCATTTGCTAAGGATTTGTTTCTATCATATAACCTCTCAAGGAATTTCTGTGCCCTCTGAACAGGTATGATAGGGTTCACCAAGTCCCATTTCATTTTCTTCTTTCTGGCAATACAGAAAGACTACATTCCCCAGCCCCTCTTAAAGGTGAATTGCAATCATGTAGCTAGATCTGGCCAATGAACTAGGAGAGTGAGCAAGGTGTGGCATCTCCAACATGAAGCATAAAGCAGTGGGTGTGAGTTTTTACTCTCTTTCCCCCCTTTTGCAGGAGCCTGAAAGCCATGTGTTCTGGATGTTGATGTATAAAATGTTGTAGCCACTGAGATCCTGAGAGACAGGGAGCAGCCTGGGACCCTAAGAACAGAGATCTGTACCCTCCCACACAGGGTATGAGAGAAAAAGCTGGGTGAGAAAGGAAGATTTTAAGAAGTTTTGCTTTAGCCTAATTCTCCATTTCACAGTGGTCAAGAGATGCAAATAGAAATTTGGGTTATTCTGAAATTACCTTTTGGTTGTTGAATTCTATTTCTTTAATACATCATCATTCAGAGACTAAAATCCATGGCTCCAACTTTGTAAGGGTTATGAAAGTAAAGTATAATTATTAAAATAGAGGTATGGACGAGTGTTCTGGAGGCATGGAGAAAAAAGAGACCAAGCCTGGAAACACTAATTGGATGCCTGCACTTCTAATAAGACCAAGGATTGCTTAGGTCTTTTTTTCAGGTCCTCCTCTCCTAGCCATCCTTCCTCCACCAACCAACCAAACACACACACACACACACACACACACACACACACACACACACACACGAAGCAAAAATGATTGGTTGGAGAGTGAAAGAAATAAAACACTGGTAATTATCCACTGCACAGTTTACTTCAACAAACAGCAACATGCTGATTAGCATGGTTATAACACTCCTAGACTAAAAGCCATTAAACATTGAAGGTTGCCTGAACTCAATCCTGAATAGAAAGAAACCAGGGAACCTAATCAGTTAAAAGTACATTCATAGGGGATAAGATTTAAGAACAGAACTTCCCCCTACCTGAGCTGCAGCGCTAGGGCTGGAGGCATAATCTTTGCTCCTATCCTGCCAATGAGCGTCGGGAACACACCCACCAGCTCCACCACGGTGATATGTCGAAGATCAAGGCCACACTGTGCTTGCTGGGAAAAAGAAAACCCAACATGGGAGGTGTGAGCATGGCTAAAGAAAGACATCCTTATCAAACTATAAACCGACAGAAGCAGTACTGGCCTGCCTCTGGAAGTTTATTTGTCCACTCTGAACTGTACTGAAAACAGTTGAGAAATTGGGGTTAAGCTAGTGGCTATAAAACCTAAATACTTTCCTAGAGGAATCATTCAGAAATGGCTTGACAGTGGGATTTTCAAAACCTAAGCAAAATGGCAGTCTATGTATTTCCAGACAGGGTGAGACCTTGAGTGAGTCAAATTTCCTAAAAAGTGTCTACGACCACCCCAGAGGATTCTAACTTTTTCTTTGCAAGGAGAGAAGAATATTTCCAGAGTCCACTTCATTGCCCTGTTTCCACTCTCCACACCCCCTTGCCCTATGCCCTCCAAACTCAATCCCAGGGGAAACAAGGATAAAAGGTTCCAAGCCTCTAAGCTGGCTCTTGGCAAGAAACTTGGGAATGTCGCCCAGTCAACCACGTGCTAGGAGGGCTCATCAGGAATGGCAGTGGCAACAAAAAAAAAAAAAAAAAGTGACATAAGACAAACACGATGAATTTGGCTAAATGAGAAAATAAATTTTGAAGTCCTGAAATATGAAAACATAAAATATGTTTTACCAAAATTCCACTGAAACATCCCTATATGAGGTTACAGAACTGGTTGAAAAGTTTAAAAAGTTAGAAATAAACTTTTATATTACTCTCCCTGAAATTTCTAAGTCAACCAAACCTTTGAAGGCTCTGGTTAAAATGCAAATGTAAATATATTCAAGGGAAGAGTCTACATAAAACATCTTGATATAAACTATCTTACCCAACTAGTTGTTAAGTTAGCAAGTGTTTGAAGGGATGGGACACTAGAGCAATGATGGCAAATTTTCTCTGTAAAGGGCCAGAGAATATTTCAGACTTGGCAAGGTTGGATGGCCTCTGTCCTAACAACTTCACTCGATCACTGTAGTGTAAAAGTAGTTGTAGATCATACACAAATGAATGAGTGTGGCTGTGTCCAATAAAAATTAATTTACCAAAACTAGCCATGGGTCACCGTAAAACCTATGGTGACACAGACGAAAAGCAAGTTGTTTGGCTTAATTCATTTTTCTATGGAATAAGACCAAATGAGGAAATACATGATCATGGAATATAGCCTGCAATGTCAATTTCCAACAAAAGAGAAAGGCATAAGCTTGTGTTTTCTGAAGAGCAAGCCCCTGGTTGGGACAATAAGATACAAAGGGAGGTAAGCATGTGGGGACTGGAGGTAAAGATGGAATGAATTTGGTTCCTTGATTCAAGGGAGCTCATAAAAATTTTATATGGCTCTTCAGAGTTCATAGGCAATTCTTCAAGTACATGGGAAGAGTAGAAAGAGAGTTATTATTATCCATTTTATAAATGCTGACATGAGAAGTAAATTGTAGCCTTTGATTAAATCAAGACTGTTCTAAGCACTTAGTTCTATCCACTGCAATAAATGAATAAAATATTCTCAAAAAAATATGTGCAGTGCCATATCCATGACACAGCATACATCCTGCCTGTTTAGCATTCAGTCAGGTTGGCCACTTTTTGCAAACCAGCTTTAGGAAAAAAGTAAGCAACTTCTAGTTGATCCTTACAGCTTCTAGTCATCCTTCCCCACACACCCCAGATGCTGGTTGCCTCATTTAGTAGCTACAAAATTTACACAGCTGAGAAGGACACATTTCCCAGAAAAGTGCTCCTCAAACTTTAGAGTACTTAGAAATCATCTGGAGAGTTTGTTAAAAATGTAGATTCTGACACAGTAGACCTAGGAGGCATGTCTAGAATTGGCATGTCTATCAAGCTCCTAGGTGATGCTGATGCTGCTGGTCTGGTCCATGAATCACACATTGAGAACCACTGTCTAAAAAATGGTTTTCACCCTCTAAGATTTGAAGAAATTCCCTGGGGAAGAATGTGGGCCTTGAGGGCTCCTGGATTCCTTTCATCTCCTGGGCCAGCCTTTTGGGCAGGCAGCTAACTGATTGCTTCCAGCCAGGCATATCCTGGACAGGTTTAGCAAAGACAATTGTTCTGAGGCTAGGCCTGGACAGCATGTCAAATAGACTTATTGGTGAAGACTGACAAACCTCATTAGTTGGAAAACGATTGAGTTAACTCTAAATAGTCGATGTTAATCAGGTTATAGCCCAGAACCAGAAATGAATGGTTATGGCCCAGAACCATAAATAAATGATGGTGGCTCTAAAGTGCCAGTTCCTGAAACTCACTGTAAGTGGATTAGGCACTGAATCTGGCCTTTGCTTTTAGTGAAATGGCTGGGCCCTTCCTGTTAAAGGCCTCCCTCCCACCTGGGCCCTGCCTCGAGGACTCACCTGCAGCATTCCTAGCTGCAGCCGGTAAAGGAGGTTTCGGGCTGTCGGTGTGGACACAATGAGGAGTCTCCTTTTCTCATAAAACTGATCCAGAAGTGCAGCTGCCGTTCTGACACCCACATTGACGTTCATGGCTGTAATCAGAAATGGCCACATGGGTCAGAAACCTTGTATTTGTTCTGGCTGAACAGAGCCTGTGATGACACACAGAACCATTGTGTAATAAGTAAACCCTGAGATAAGGATTGAAGTGTAAGTAATTTATTTGGGAAGCAGTCCCAAGAAGCACTTGTAGATGAGTGAGGAAGTATATTCATTTCCTCTTGCCGATGTAATTACTCACCATAAACCTAGTGACTTAACATAATAAAAACTTATTCTTTTAGATACTACAGATCAGGATCTAAAAGATCCTGGTCTCATGGAGCTAAAATCAAGGTATTGGCAGGGCTATGTTCCTGCAGAGGTTCTAGGGGAGAATCTGATTTCTTGTCTTTTTCAGCATCTAAAGGCCACCTTCATTCCTTGGCTAGTAGTCCTTTCCTCCATCTTCAAAGACAGCAGTGTAGCATCTTCAAATCTCTCTTCTCTCTGACCTCTCCTTCCATCATCTCTTTCTTTGACTGTGACAGCAGTTCTGCCTCCTTTATATAAGGAGTCTTATTATTACATTGGGCTCATTGGGTAATCCAGGATACTCTTCCCATCTCAAAATTCTTAACTTAATTACATCTGTAAAGTTCCTTTTTTTCCTGTAAGGTAACATATTCTCAGGTTCTGGGGATTAGGATGTGGACATCTTTGGGGGACCATTATTCTGCCTATGTCAAGAAATGAGGCAGTGAAGGAAAGAAAACAATACCAGTTGGCTATCAAGCAAGTTATTGCTGTGGGCATTTGGAACCAACTCCCACTGAGGAACTCTAGGAGATGATATACCACATACCTCAGAATTAACCTACTGGAGGGAACTGGAGTATTTATACAATTTCTCCATCATTGTTGAGGCTGCTTCTGGGGTACTAACTCTCCATCACTTCCAGCTGGCTCTGTGCATGGGCTGACAATGCTTTGATAGCCAGAAAAGTAAAGCTCTTAGACAGAGAGACCCAGGTAATTGCAGTAAGTAGCCTTTTGAACATAGATGGGAATGTGAAAGGCATATGGGTCAAGTACCATAGTATCTGCTGGGGAAAGGGGTGCAGAGAGGCAGAAGGGTGAGAGAATGGGCAATGACCAGGCTGGCTTTGGAATGGCTCAGAATCTCTGAAGTCTACTACCTTGGTGCAGAAGGGACAGAGTAATGTGGGGTACAAAGGCCACAGAGCAAGCAACATAGGCATAGAGGACATGGGACAAGGCACTTTCATAATAGGTCTTCCCTTTAAGCAAATAAATGACAACTAATTCTACCATTCGAGGTCAATGAAGGATGTTGTATAGATAGGCAAGCAAACAGGCTTAGACCCAGAGAAGAAATAATATGAGAAAAACTAGGAGATTCCATGTATGATTTATAAACTTGGCTTTCATATTTCACACTTTAGGTTTGTATTGAAGTATTTGTTTATTCACATATTCATTCATTCAGCCATTATATACTGAGTGCCTGCTATGTACCAAGCTCTATGCTAGGTACTGTGATGTCACACTGAGTAATACACAGTTCCTGCCCTCTTCCATGCCCCAGGGGCTCAGAGGCTAAGATAGCTGTGGTCAAGAGAAATACCATGTAAGCCACTATATTTAAACTTAAATTTTCTAGTTGCCTCATTAAAAGAGTATAAAGAGGCCAGGTGTGGTGGCTCATGTCTATAATCCCAGCACTTTAGGAGGCTGAGGTGGGTGGATCACGAGGTCAGGAGATCAAAACCATCCTGGCTAACATGGTGAAACCCTGCCTCTACTAAAAAGACAAAAAATTAGCCAGGTGTGGTGGCACGCCCCTGTAGTCCCAGCTACTTGGGAGGCTGAAGCAGGAGAATCACTTGAACCCGGGAGGCTGAGGCAGAAGAATTGCTTGAACCCAGAAGGCAGAGGTTGCTGTAAGCCGAGATCACACCACTGCATTCCAGCCTGGGTGACAGAGCAAGAATCCATCTCAAAAAAAAAAAAAAGTATAAAGAAATAGGTGGAAATGATTTTATGTTTTATTTAACCCAATGTATCCAAAATATTTCAACATGTAATCAATATAAAAAAATAAGATACTTTATATTCTTTTTCATATTAAGATTTTGAAACTGATATATGTTTTACACTTATAGCATATCTCAATTCAGAATAGCCTCATTTCAAGTGCTCAATAACCACACATAGCTAGTGGCTACCATGTTGGACCACACACGCCTAGGATCCTGTTAGACACCACACCCCAGGCGTTAATGCCAACATGGTGGGCATGAAGTCCTTAGGTAGGGAGTCTGTAATAGGTACGTTCTTCCTACTTTAATATATGAAATTGAAGAATCTCAGGCATTTAGCTGATGGTATATATGTCTCTCTTATGATGGTATATATGTCACTTAACTCTAAATTCGAGCTTCAATTAAAAGAAAGGGATAAAGATGAAAGGGTACCAGGAAATGAGAAAAAGAGAAGTCCATAAACAAGAGATATGTCCATAATTTTCTGGCTAGTCCAAGTTTCAGACTCTTTTTACCCAGCCCAATTTTTATGCATCAGGAATAAGAGCTGCCATAAGGCTTTACCTGTACCAGGCACTGCTCTATTCCACTGTCCCACAGATGACCTCATTTAATCCTTACAACAACTCAAGAGGTAGATGATGTATTATTTTCTTCATTTTACATAGGAGGAAAGAATCCAAATGCCCAAGGTCTATGTGACTTTCATGCCAGTGATGCAAAGCAGGTATGATATTGTCTCTACGTGGCAGTGTACTGGTTTTATAAACAAGATCCTTACATTTCTATAACAAGAGTAACTAGAGCAGAATTTGCTGATTTATAATGTCACCAAAGGCTGGCCCTAGGTTCCCACTTTGAGCTTCTTCCTTAGAGGACATGAAAGGGAAATTAGAGGACTGGCAGAGGCAAGAAGGATGGCAAATGAGATGAGCTGCAGCAGGGATCTAGGGACTATGTTCACCCACTCAGATAAAAAGGGATGGCCATGAACTTCTCAAAGTATATGAAAGGAAACCTCTCTAGCACTGGAATCAAGAGCCAAGGAGTTTACAAGTTCTGCTGCTGGCTGGAGAGAGGGCTGCATACATACCTGCACAGGTGGGCTCTGTGCCAGACCAAGCCAGGTTGGATTGACATACTCGGGCAGGGCTACCCTGGAGCTCATAGCCACCGATGCAGGAGAACTCACAGGTGGCTCCATAATTATCCCCGTCGCTGGAACACTTCATGTAACCATTCTCTGGGGCATTGAGCTTGCCACAGCGTTTGACTGTAGGGACACAAGTCCAGAGGGGTCTCAGTGCTGAGCTCCCATCCACAGAGTAAGCAGAAAAGGTGAGGATGCATAGGCATCAGCTTTGCCATCAGGCTTTTAGATCAGCCTGTGGAATGAGTGAGGGAGCACGAATGACTATTTGGTCAGTCAGTGAGCTGTGCAGCGGTCACCATCCATACCAATGAGACCACCTATATCAACTGGTTTAGCTCCTTGCCTTATAGATGAGGAAGTGAAGTCCAATAAAAGTAAGGAGTAAAAGATGGTTAGCAATTAGTTACCCAAACCATTGGGCATAAAATAGTTCTTAAAAACATTTTCCTTCATACCAGTGGTTCTAGAACACTAAGAACATGTTCTCCTGGTGGCCCAGATTAGGGGGCTCCTATCCACTCTGGTTGTAGACAGACTCACAGGCTTCTGCTGGTCACCTATGCTCATGGATGGAAATAATTATTGAATAATCTTCTTCTGGGACAGTCAGCTATGGGCTCCTGTGAGACTAGTCCTGTGGAACTCCTTAAAGAATCTGACAACACTGAATTCAGGTATTAAAATAGGGCACTTCCCGGAGCCTCATTAGAGACTAATCTAAAGTTGGCAAGTCTCCCATCACAGTAGGCACTTGGGAGAGTTCTGGCTTGAGGACCTGCTTCCCTTTGCTCTTCTAAAGAGAAGGGGGAAAAAAGCAATAAGCAGTACTCTTACCTCTTACTTTAACTCGAAATTTGCAAGTGCCCTTATTCTCAGCTCTGTCATAGACTGTGTACTGGATCTTGTGGTCTCCTTCTGGAAAATGGGAGCCTGGGGGGAGGCCTTTTAGAATGACACTTAGAGAGAAAAAAGAATCAGAAACAGGAAAGATGACATTATGGACCTGACAAGCAAGTGACGACCCCTCACTCTTTACAGAACATGGAGAGACTGAGGGCAACCATTAGACCAGTTTAAGTAGAACAAAAACTTCTTGAAGAATAGAATCTCCTAAGCTGTAGTCTGTTTTAGAAGAGCAGTTTGTGACCAGAAAATGGAAGACCCAAACTACTGGAAAATTTAGACTTTTTTCTTGCTGAAGGGTAGAATGGTAGGGAAGGGGGTAGATGGGAGGAGGGAGGTTGAAAAATATAGGGCTCAAATCTCTTCCTTCAATCTCACTCTTGTTCCACGTGGGACCTGAATTGCCTCACTGTTGGGAAGACAAGGGAATTTTCTGTGAGGAAAATCATTAGAGAATATAGTCCAAGCAGTCACTGGCAATTTGGGCCTGCAGGGGGTGCTAGAACCTTCTCTGTTCTTTCTATCTGGGCCAGTGGAGACCTTTCCTGAACAAAAGGCAAGTTCTCTGTGATTCCTTGGTTATCCTAATAATATAATAATAATAATGATAAGTGTTCTTTGCACTTACATAAATCTTACATGTCAGGCATGGTTCTAGTCATTTTGCATATATTTATTTAATCCTCACAACAACCCTATTAGGTAGGTAGTATTATCTCTCTTTCACAGATGAGGAAACTGAGGCATCAAAAGTTTAAAGAACTTGCCCAAGATCACACAGTTAGGGTGAGTTCATCTTTTTTCTTGGCTGTCTATACACCAATAGGTATAGCATGATCAAATTCCATGTGTTTTTTTTTTTCAATATACCTATCCCTACAGTTCTTGGGAATGATGAGAATATTTGCTAATAATGAACATGTAGAAATATCATTATCACCATTGAGGAAAGCCTTACATGTAGGTGGGTGAGGTGGCTGTTTACCTCGTACGAGAGATGGGTCTTGGGAAAATGTCAGAAATCCCACTATTTTGAGACATGTTGCTGTTGACTTTAGATGCTTTAAGGTCTTTAGAAAGCACAATTTAAATTCAGATAAACCTGAGAGGAATGATACTTCAAATATAAGTGGGTGTAACCTCTCTGAGACTATTTCATCTGTGACATGCAACTAACAGAAGGAGTAAATAAGGGAACTCACAAGAAGCACTTGTCTCAGAGCTTGACCCTAGAACCTTCTCCCTCATAAGGGAGCAATAGAACAGTAGCTTGGATAGGAAATGGTGGAAGGGGTCATAGGAAAAATGCCAGGGCAGCAAGGAGCCCAAGTGAGAGCTGAAAAGGGAGCGAGACAGCCTTCCCTGAACTCCTCATCCTGTGAGAGTGCATTCCCCATGGCATCCTGCTCTAAGCCTTTCTGGCCTCTGGGCTGTAGAACTCTGGAAGCAGACAGCTGCTCTAAACAAAGGGACAAGGGAGTACTGAGATATTCTTTTAAAATGTAACACTCTTGCCACAGTGCTCATGAATGTAATCCCAGCACTTTGGGAAGCCAAGGTAGGTGGATCACCTGAGATCAGGAGTGCAAGACCAGCCTGGCCCACATGGCAAAACCTCATCTCTACTAAAAATACAAAAATTAGCTGGGTGTGGTGGCACATACCTGCAATCCCAGCTACTCAGGAGGCTGAGGCAGGGGAATTGCTTAAACTGGGAGGTGGAGGTTGCAGTGAGCCGAGATCGCACCACTGCACTCCAGCCTGGGCGACAGAGTGAGACTCTGTCTCAAAAAATTAAAAAATTAAGTAAAATGTAATACTCCTAACCATGTTATGCAAGTTACCCACAAAAACAACAAGGTGAATTTCTCACAAAGCTTGTAGGCAAATAGAGTCATCTGATGACTTGATATTTTGTGTGTATTACACAGGATTTCAACAGCAGTCAGAGTTGCAAACATCTAAAAATTTACGATGTGCTAGGGGCTGGGCCAGGCATTGTGCTAGACGCTGAAGAGTCAAAGGTAAATAAAATCCAATCCCTGATTACGTCAACTTACTTTTCAAATCGGATTGCCTAGATTTTCTTCAAATGGATTTGTGGGATGTGTATGTGACAGCAAATAATGTTTTAATGGTCAAACTTTATCTTTGAGAAGTTACAATGGGGGAGCATAACTAGTAATATTACTTAAGCTAGATGAGGCACTGCGGGAAGATTATTGGAATGTAGGAACAAAATCTCCTGCTAGAGATGAGAGACTCAACCTCCTCTCACTAGAAAATGTACTGTTATTGCTAATCATTGTGTAAAAATGTGTTGTCATGCACAGCCTGTGTTGATAGGATTCTAGAAAGTCTTTTCTTGCTTTATGGATCACCAGGGATAAGTTAGATGTATCCTTTTATCTACAGATGAAAACTCAGCGGGGAGCTCAAATATGCCCATGAACTTCAAGGCACAGATATGAACATGCTAACATGGAGTAGTAGTCTCCAGGGAATATGAAGGCCAATCAAACAGTTGCAGGGATACAGGCCCAAATGCTAGATTAGAGCAACACATAGCTAACCCTTGCAAAGGGATCCACCCATTTTTAAAAGCTTCTTAAGAGTGTTTATCATTATGGTTGGTAAACCAACATATAAACAAAAAGCATCTCAGATATATGTCAAACTATAAATGAAACTGGTCCAGAACAATGGAGTAGAGGTGCGAAACAAGGCAGAAGATACTTTCTCTTCTTTTTCATAAGTTTCTGTGAGTGTTTGATAGGGTCAGAAGTTTTAAAAATAAATTTAAAAGCTTTGAAAGAGATAAATACAGTCAAAAAAACAAGGAGGTGAAAAAGTTCTTCCCTAAACTGTACTCAGAGCACAAGAACGGCAGCCTCTGACATCACCTGGGAGACACATGTGGCTTCCCAGTGCAGGTAAAGGCCTTGGGGGCATGAGTAGAGTCTGCCTGGGCAGGCGATGGAGGTGGCACTATCCCTAAATTAACCAACTGGCTTCTTCTTTCTCCTTCTGTTCCTCCTTCCCTTCTTCTCACCACTTTTTAAATTTTTTATTAAATTTTTGTGGGTATATAGTAGGTGTATATATTTATGGAGTACGTGAAATTTTTTTTTTTTTTTTTGAGATGGAGTCTCACTCTGTCACCCAGGCTGCAGCACAGTGGCACAATCTTGGCCCACTGCAACCTCAGCCTCCCAGGTTCAAGCTATTCCCGTGCCTCAGCCTCCCAAGTAGCTGGAATTACAGGCATGCACCACCATGCCTGCCTAATTTTTGTATTTTTAGTAGAGATGGAATTTCACCATGCTGGCTCGGCTGGTCTCAAACTCCTGACCTCAAGTGATCTGCCTGCCTCAGCCTCCCAGAGTGCTGGGATTACAGGCATAAGCCACCGCGCCCAGCCAAGATGTTTTGATACAGGCATGCAATGCGTAATAATCACATCATTCACCACCACTTATTTCTCTTTTTTCCTTCAGTAAGGATTTACTGAATGCTAACTATGTGCCAGGCACAGTTCTGAGCATTACGGACATGGCAGTGAACATATTATAATAGAGACAGGCAATCAACAAACACACAAATGAAATATATAGTATGTTAAGCGATGACCAGGGGACCACATCTGAAAGCATAAATAGACCAGCATACATACACTCCCCTACTGTGGGTAGCAAACATCTCAAATAAAAGAGACAGCATCATTTCAGCTGCCAAGTTTCACTTACTCAGTAAGAATGCCGTCTGCTGTGTCTCTTCCTTCAGGGGTCTCCCAGGACACCCGGACTGTCAGTTTGTTGGGTTCTGCAATGCGTTCCTTCACACTTGGGCACTTGATTCTAGGAGGTTCCATATCTGAAAATATAACCAAAACACTATCATCATCATCATCAAGAAATATGTAGTCAAACTGGGATTCAAGACCCAAAGTTTAAAATACCAGAACCTCTGGGTATTCCCCTTTTGCCCTTCATTATGGTTTTACTCTCCTGCTAAGTTTTAAAGATTGTTTAAATACTCACACATGCAGTGCTAAACCTGCAATCCACTGGCCTTGCGAGGTGTCCTGTGGGTAATTCATTAGCTACAGCCTTTCCTCCTGCTTTGAAGACAGCATCATGGAATATTAAAGAAAGGCACTCTAGCTATCAATAGTCAGATTCAATTCAAGGCAACAAAATTTTCATGAGTGCCAATCTTATCCAAGGCTTCATTGCAACTGCTGGGGCGGGGGGTGCACAAAGGCAAGAGAATCATGTGCTCCTGACTTGTCAGATAATTTGCTATCTCTTGGGGGGATTACATTACCACCCATGAAATATAACATGAGGTAAGAAAATGGCAATGCCCCAGGCAAGGTAGAACTGAATGCTATGGAGGCGTAGAGGAATCACCCAACTGTCTCATTTTACAGATGTGCAAACTGAGGCTCAGAGAACTTAAGTGATTTATTTAAGACCACACATGTAGATAACGGCACTGTGAATTATAATTTAAGTCAGAGCACTTGCCACCAAAACAAGCTCTCTCTCTCTCTCTCTCTTCCTGCTGTCTATTATCAACATATTGCTCAACATCTTAAAATAGGCAATGGTCTGTCTGGGTCCACTCTCCCCTCAAACTCCTACTGAACTACACTGATGGTTTGATGTTTGGGAAAGGCTTGCAAATTTCTTCAAGTAGTTTCTTTACTGGGTAATAGAAGTTCTGCCTTAATAGTGATATCAAGGATGGGTGGATAATGAGGGCTCAAAGTAAATGAGACGGCACCTCTACAATGGGTTGTATTTCATCTTATAGCTGAAGTAAAATTACAAGAGGAAGTTCAAAACTCTGCAAATTCTACTTGCTCTTTCTGAACAGGTATAGAATGTATTTATAGAGGGCATAGTAAATCAAGGGCATTCAGCTTTGCATTGCTTTACTTATCAACCGAAAGTATTAAGTGCTATTACAGCCTTAATGAAAAATCATTTGATTTTGAATGACAAATATCTTTGAGAGACTAAATGCACCAAGTAAAATTCCTGATATACTTTCTCCTGTGTCTTGTTTAATAATTTCTCATTTTATTTAAGGTAAGAAGTTATAAATAACTTATTAAACAATTTTGCCTTCAGTTTTCCAAATTCATTTTCATTCTGTCATGCTTCAATGGAGTGTGAACTTAACAACCTTAATGCACCAGTCCTAAATTGCATAACCACTATATTTTGTTGAATCTAAGTCACTCCTAATTGTGAAATGCATCCCTATTCCAGGGATATTAAAAGGTAGAAAAAATATGCTTCTCAGAATTGATAAAATACTATGATGAAATGGAATATGACTTAAATGCATTCAAGATGTCTATTCTTAGTTGTGAAGTTTTCTAAAAATAATTTCTTAATTTTTTACTATGATAGGTGATAGAAGACAAACTTTTAGAATTCAGATGAACATTTCACAGAAAGACAAGCATATAATGACTGCCCCCTGCTGGTCAAACATAGCTGGCAATTACAGTATAGAATATATTTATTAGCATAGAGATTTCAATGTAAAATTACATTGTGTTACCATATTTTCTTGGAGCAGCATGGTCAGAGTGAGAAGCAACTTATTCACTGTCAGGTAAACCAAATGTCTGGATGATACATTCTTGTTTCTTTGTTTGTTTTCTGGATCTAGATGTACTAACAGTGTAAGCACACAGGCTCGAAAATAGGTTATCTGGGTGAAGGGTCTCAGAGCTTCCCAAAGCCAGCTTATCTCTGGCTAACAATCTTCTGAACTGGCCTAGCTTTTTAGAAACAGTGTTCTTCCAAAGAAGAAACAAGAAGAAATAAATCATTGCAAATAATTAATATTGGAGGAATCCTTCCTACATGCCCACCCCATACTAAGTACTCTCCCTATATTATTTTATTGAATTTGCACAACCACGCATTAGACTAAGCAATGTTGTTAGAATCCCATTTATAGACTGGGAAGAAGCATTTCTGCTCTTTTGGGATTTCTTTGTGGTCTGGGATTTTTAAATGCCATTACATATTTTTGTTATTTTAATAAATCAAACGCTTTGTGTGTCTGTCTGCTGCTGACATAGTGTTTTCCACCAACTTTTGCACACATGCTGTTTTGTGATGGCCTGTCATAGCTTCCCCATAAACCCATGAAGAGCAGCTGCAGGATTTGATCCTGACACATCCTCAAGCAGCTGCCTTCTCTCTCAGCTGATGAAACCAGTTGGTCTGCCCTTCAGCTGTTGCTCCAGAGACCTAAGCCTGTTATTACCCAGACTTGGCCAGACAGCTTTTTATAAGTTATACACTTCCATGAATGAAAGGAACAAAGTTACTATAGAAACATAATTACTATTCCCTGTTGAATTAGGATGTCTGCAATTGTATAAAATTCTTGAAACCTTCAGTAAAAATTCTGTCCTCTGCTCTCTGCCTCATTCATTGGACACATTTGACAAACCTGTCTCCCTTCTCTGTGCTCTAGTTTTCCCTGTGCATATAAAACATAGGAAACAAATACATTGCATTGTATCAACTACTATTTAAGAAGCTGAACTTTTTTTTTTGAGACAGGGTCTCATTTCTCCCCCCATGGCTGGAGGGCGGTGGCACAATATCGGCTCACTGTAGCCTTGACCTTCCAGACTCGTGATCCTCCCACCTCAGCCTCCCAAGTAACTGCAATTATGGCCATGCACAGCCATGCCAGGCTAATTTTTTTTAATTATTTTTTTTTGTAGAGACAGGGTTTTGTCATATTGCCCAGGCTGGTCTCAAACTTGTGGACTCAAGCAATCTGCCTGCCTTAGCCTCTTAAAGTGCCGGGATTGCAGGCATGAGCCACTAGCACCCAGCTGAAGCTGAACTATGTACTTCAGAATCCTTAACACATATAACCAGGTAGGTAGTGGAAATGAGGAAGAGGTTCAAAAGGACAATGTCTCGGCCAACAGATAACAATGAAATGCAAGTGAAGTGGCCCTGTGCCATTTCCAGACCTTGGCCCTCAGAGAATCTGGTGCCTTCTGCTTTCACTATGTCAAAAGCCAGCTGCCATCTAAAGAAGTTCAATTGACTGGAGAGGCCAAATAGTCAGGATGAGAAACTATAAATGGGAGAGAGAAAGAGAGAGAGAGAGAGAAAGAGATTCAGCCAGACCCCAGTCAGTACAGCTTTTCCCAACTGAGGTACCAGACCTGTGAGTGAAGCCATCTTGAACCCTCCAGCTCCACTTGGTCACCTCAGCCATTACCACATAGAGCAGAGATGAGCTGTCCCCATAGAACTCTGCCCAACTTTCCAATCCATAGAATCTTTGAGCAGTAACATAGTTGTTTGGAACCACTAAGTTTTGGGTGCTCTGTTGTGCAGCAATAGATCACTGATGCAAATATAACATAGCTTGAGTTTGGTGATAGAGAAAGGAAGAGTTCTTTTGACATAGGAAGTGAGTGACTGCCAAATGCAGAACAAACCTGGCCATTGAAAACTCACCCAACTGTTTGCTTCCCACAGCCAGAGTGTAATCCCTGTGGATGGCTCTGGGAAGTGGTTTCCTCTGTTTGGTACCATATAAAAATTCAGAGAACTTTCCAAAACAGACAGAAGAGGCAAGAAGGGAGGCAATGAAATCCACATGTAAAAGTCGTCATCATGGCCGGGTATGTTGGCTCATGCCTGTAGCCCCAGCTACTCAGGAGGCTGAGGTGGGAGGATCGCTTGAGCCTGGGAGTTCAAGACCAGCCTGGACAACATAGCAAGAGGGAAGCCTGGGCAACATAGTGAGACCTCATCTCTAACAGTCACATCTTCACAAGAAAGAAGCCCAAGTAAAAATTCATTGGTGATACATTTATATTAGAGAGAGCCACTAAAAGTTGACCTGTTCTGTTTGTACTAACCAAACATGTAAGGGAAAAAGTGAATCAGCATCTCAATCAATCGAGTTGGTTTAAAACTGAAACTAGCCTCTGAACGTTTGCAAAAGAACATGTATTTGTCAACCTAGGAGAATTTAGCACAATTTAACATCATTTGTAACAATACATGTATAAATTTATGCTGAGCCCTACTGATGTTTGCATCAGCTAAATAATGCCATGCAGCCCAGCAATAAAACAATGATCCTGTTCCTATGGGTCATTGAGTAAACCAGCTATGAGACAGCTGGGAAGCAAGAAAAGTATGCCATCAATTTCCATATATTAAATCTCCAAAATTTTTTATTCCAGAATTTCATTTGTGTTAATAAATCTCTACCTATTCTACTCTGCAGAAAATAAAAAGTAAGAGAGCATTGCCAAAGAAAACCAAATTAGTTTGTACATTGTCTTTTGTTAAAGCAATTAAGTGGATACTGTCTGCATGTCAAAAGACCTTTGCTGGTTTTTCATTGTCCATGGTTTTCAAAGTACCTATTTGTTTTCTTCCTGTTTTGGCCTAGGCAGAAGTATTGGTCTAAAGGAGAGATCATGTGTCTACTCAAAATCTGGTCTCCAAATGAGGACTTGTGATTCCAGCTGTCCATTGTGCTATCTAAATACCAACATAACCAAAAATAACTAAAATGGAAAGAAAGAAAAATATCTCCCCAAAACAATAGTGGTTACATTCTAAGTTTTATTTTCTTCCAGATCAGTGGAGGTTGTGGCTCTTCAAAGAGTTTACCCTCCTGCAATTTGCAGTATTTTTTTTTCCTCCTACGTTGATTTATTTTTATCTATATCTGTTTCTGAAATAACCATGAATTTCAGCCCATTGCCAGAGTATGGTCTGTGTAAGAGAATTAATTTTAACTTGCAGCACCTTAAAATTAGCCAGACCACAGAACTGACCACCTCAGAGTCAAAACAAAACCCAGTCTTCTCTCTTCCCTCCCAGTCTAGAAGAGAACTGGGACAACTTTCTCACCACTCAGCACAGCTCTGGCCAAGACTGTTGAAGGTTGTATGGAAATCTGGGAACTACTTAGCCACTATGTGTCAGCTCCTAAAATAGGTTGAAGTTCTGAGTTATGCTCAAGGACCCCCTGCCAACACAAAAACAAATGTATTAAACTATTTTAATACATTTAAAGCCAAAAGAGTAAATGATACCCCTGGAGTAAAATTCACTGGGATCAAACTCCAGCTTGTCTGTCACCAAAATCAAAGAAAGAATTGCCTGCCTGCTAATCCATTTCTCTTTTCCTGGGAGCTCTAGGCTCTTTTGTGGATCACTGTACCCGTTTTTGTCACCCCTATGTAATTGCATGTACAATCCTCTTTCCCCCAAATATGTCTGAACCTTGTTCTGACAAACTGTAATAGGAATCCCCGAATTTGGGGTTCATTTTCTCTGCCTCTGAGAAGGTTCCAGGCCCATCTGGTCCAGCTTAAGACACGCTTGTTGCTTTTTGAGAACAATCAGCATTTTCTTTCCATTGTTGCACACAATCTGGAAATTTAAACAGTATGATCCCTAGAGTACTCTGCCAAAGCTTGCTTAGCAGAAAGATTTTTGAGCTTCTCCTCTCCTCCCACCATCACCTCTGCCTCTTCTAATATGAGGGAGTAGATTCAATTTTCTTTTTGGTTTGTTTTGAAGAGCTAGCTTGCACATACCAAATCACAGGGAGGGTACTGAAAGCAACATCTGCGAGGTACCCGCTTTGGGCGGTGTTACTGGCACTTAGTGAATAATAACAAAGGATGCTTAAGCAGAGCTCCAAAACAAAGATTTGGCCCCAAATGTCCATCATGCTGAGGTTCAGAAACTTTGCCCTAGAGCATTGTTTAGCAGAATCCTAGGCCCCTCCCCAGACCTGCTGAATTTAAATCTGCATTTTTCCCAAGGTCCCTAGAGGACTTCCCTGCATAGTAAAGTTTGAGAAGCAGTGCCTTAGGTCAGTAGCTGTCTATTTGAGTGCTTCAGAATCTTGGAATGTTCATTAAAACACAAAGTGCTGGGCATGACCCCTAAAGTTTCTGATTCAACAGGTGGTGGGGCTGGGGTGGTAAAAATTTGCATTTCTAAACAGTTCCCAGGGAAAGCTACTGCTGCTTCTGCTCCCAGTACCACACCGTGAGAACCACTCACTGCCCAACAAAACCAGAGTAAGGCAAAATATCCAAATCCTTTCCAGCTGGACACATTGAATGCTTGCTGACCACCAGAGTCAATGACAAAGGAACTACAATGGGGCTGAGACACACATAGATGTTCTCTACTGGACTGTTTCTACAAAGTGTCAATAACTTTGCTCAGAGCCCTGAAGTAAAATCACAGGAGTATGCCACATCTCTGCCAGCCTGTAGTTGCCTCAACAGCAAACCAAGAAAAAGACAAAAGGCAGATGGAAGCCATTAGCTATGAAGTCAGTTCCAGTATATACACTGAGGTTAGATCTACAGCTGAGCCAGAGAACCAATGATGCTCCTGAAAGCAAAGTTGCATGCCTAGGCTTTACAGGAGGGATAGTGATGCTCCCTTTACAATCCACGATAGGAACACCCCCTGCTCCTCCCAAAGCAAGTACCTCCTGAGGGCTGTGGCATTTTCTTACCCACACAGAAGGCTGGCCGGCCGCTCCAGGCCTTGTTGTCCATACATGTGACAGTCCGCTCCCCTTTCAACGTGTATCCTGGTGAACAATAATACTCACACCGGGAGTTAAAGTAGGCACCATCTACGCACTTAAACCCTCCATTTGCTGGCATGGCAAGGGTAGGACATCGCTTTTCTGAAAATGAGAAAATCAGATATTCAGCATTTCTGAGATTTTGTCTATAGAGTTTTGTTTCAGAGTCCAGAAACTCTGAAAGTATAGGGTGAAATTTATTTAAATACAACAAATGGAATTTGAGAAACAATAGATGATTTTATGTCACACAGAAGAGCCAAAGTTTCATGTCACACTGTCTTGGGTTGGCCTCCCAGATAAGCCACTATCTTAGGTTGAAGCAGACTCTAAGATACGGATTTGTGTGCATGAGGTTTAGTAAGAAAGTGCTCCCAGGGAGATCAGTGAGTGGGTGAGAAAAGCAGAACAGGGAAGGGGAGGAAACCAGGCAAGATGAGATCTTGGGCAAAGTCAACAGCAGCCCCAGGCAAGGAAGCTGGGCTTTCATAATTCTCTACCGGTCAGTCATTGGACAGCTACAGGCTGCTCATAGGAGATGCTTTCTCTTGTGAAAAGAGAGTGAGAGAGTGAGAGCGAGAAAGCGAGAGAGCGCAGGAGCAGTCCTCTGAAGGAGCAGTCTTCTAAATAAGGTCAAAGTTGCAAGTCTTTAAGAGCAAAGTGGCCCATTTGTGGTGGCAGGGTCTGGGAAAGGGGCGGCAGGCACCATGTGTGGCTGGGAAGGTGGCAAGAAGAAGCCCCTGAAACAGCCCAAGAAGCAGGCCAAGGAGATGGACGAGGAAGATAAGGCTTTCAAGCAGAAACCAAAAGAAGAGCAGAAGAAACTTGAAGAGCTAAAAGCAAAGGCCGCGGGGAAGGGGCCTCTGGCCACGGGTGGAATTAACAAATCTGGCAAAAAGTAAGCTGTTCCTTGTCCCTGAGGAGATGGTGATCGTTTATTTCATCCGTATTTAAACATCTGTATTCCCTGCCATAGCATCTTTTGCCACCTATAGCTGGAATTATGTGTTGTCTTGGAGCTGTTGTACATTTAAGAATAAACTTTTGTATTTAAAAAAAAAAAAAAAAAGAGCAAAGTGCTCAGAAGCTGGGGACTGGATACACACAACTAGTAAAAGGCATCGAGGAGATCTGGGTAAAGCAGATTGTCCACTACGGTCACCCAGTTGCACAGTCTGCAAAGTCTTGATTACATGGCTGCAGCCTTGAAACCTCAGTTTCCCCAACAATGAAGTTAAAATAATAGCACCCATATTGATAGTGTTATTGCAAAAATCAAATGTATGTGAAATGCTTGGCAAACCATAAGTGATCAAAAAGTGGTGCTGTTTTGAATACCAAAGATATCTAAAATGTGCTTCAACAATGCCATACCACTTACGGTTTTCCAAATGAGGTATGACTTCTCATGAAGCTCAAAGTCAGTCCCTGAAACGCCCCTCTAATCTTCTCCCCTGAGGCACACTCGCTTTCATAAATAAGCCTCACTTCTTCAGACACTCTTTCCTGCCTCCCTAAGCCCCACTCACTGGGAGAACACATCTTTAATCTGCTACTATATGTTCCTGACTTTGTACCCTTCTTGTACTTATTTCCCAGTTGATGCCTCTGCCTTGCTAGAGCCTCTTCATGGCAGGGCCCATGTGTGCCTTACTTGTTTCTAAATCCCTAACACCTCTTCAGGATCCTGCACTTACTAAACAAATGTAACTAATTTTCTGAACAATGATCTTCTCTCCCCTTTTCTCAACAGCTGATCATATCATTCTCTCTGAGAGGAGCAATCTCACTTCCACCATATCTTAGAACTCCCCTGTTGTCCCCCTGCTCATAAGGGTAATTTTTCTCATCCAAAGTTCAGGGAAAATCCTCAATCTCAGAGCAAAAGAACTTTGGCTCTGGTCATCCCTGAGGACCCAACATGGGGCTGGGCTACTCACGTTTGCAGATGACCTTGTCAGACCATCGTTTGTTTGACTGGCAGATCAGTAGGGAAGAGCCATGCAGCTCATAGCCCTTCTGACAGCGAATGTCACACCTGCTTCCCAGAGCTGTTTTGTAGTATCCTCCTTGAGGGGCCCTGCAGTACACATCCCCATACTTCACCTTGATGGGGGAGCACCATGGGGTATCTACAAGTAGCAGAAACAAAAAAAAAAAAAAAAAAAGAGAGACAGAAATACCAAATGACACTTTCAGAAAATGTGTCCCCTTACTCTCACAGTCCCAGGCTGGTTGCATTCCAAATTTTGGACCTTCAAATAGTGCCCCATGTTTTCTTAGGTGTCTCCGGTTATGATCATGGGTCTAAGTGTCAGATATATCTGAACATGAATCTGAGTTCCTCTATAACTCACTATGTGACCTTAGACAAGTTAGCTAACCTCTCTGAGTCAATATCTATACCTATGCCATAGTGCTGTTATAAGGACTAAATAAAAATTGCATATCGAGCATCTAGCACAGTGCCCAGCACATAGTATATGTTCAATAAATGCTGCTCTTCTTAGTACTTCCCTTAACTAGATACATAAAGTTTATTTTTATTGTATTTTTAGATAAATAATTATTTCAAGAGCAATTGATCTCATACATAGTGGGACGGGTGGGATTCAAAAATTGGTTAATTTGGATTTCTTTTGAGCTGTATGCACATTCTCTCTAAAATGTTGTAATACTGCTATTAATCTAAATGAAGCTACAATTTCCAGGTTTTTGCAACAAGATATAAATTTGGCTTAAAGTCAAAGAACAACTGCTCCTCATAGGGAAGTATCCCCAATTATGCCCCATTTAGGTAACAGGGTGACACCCTCCCCAGATGGCAAAGTCGCAGGTGTTTTGATTTTGGTCTTATAGTTGCCCAAAGCACAGCTAGGATGAAATGAATAAATCACAACCTCCCCACTGCGCTTTTGAAATGTTATCTTTGAGATCCATAAAATATAAGGGCAACATGAGCTACTTGGTGGGTAACTTCCTACAGTAGCTACCACCCCAATGTCCCACAATCGATGGGGACCAGTGAGGAGCTCCCTAAGGCCAGCTGGGCTCTCAATGCCATGAATAGAAACCACTTCCCTGCAGCTGCCTGGCTCATCACTCCACTCCAGCACCTGAGCTGTCAGTGAGTGAGGTAAGTGCCCCATCATGTGGCCAGGAAGGAGGACAGACCCTGTTTTACTTTCCCAGGAATTCTTTTCTGAGGATGTGCCTCCGACTGCTCCTTAGTTACAAAAAACAATAGTTCTGGGCCAGGTCTTGTGCATAGACCACTGTTTTACTTTTGCCTTCACATTTCCTTCAGCTAACACTTTCTCTTTTTTTTTCTTTTTTGGAAACAGCGTTTCACTCTGTCACCCAGGCTGGAGTGTAATGGCATTATCATTGCTCACTGCAGTCTCAACCTCCTGAGCCTCAAGCGATCCTCCTGTCTCAGCCTCCCAAGTAGCTGGAACTACAGGCACACATCACTGTGCCTGGTCTGGCTAATACTTTCATCATATAATGTTTTGCAGACAGCTGCAAGTGAGTCCTAAACTCAAGACTCAAGTAATATTCCCTGGACTTTCTAGGTAAAAGTGATGTCCTGAAGGCTTAATCTAGAACGATTAAATTTGACTATGTGGATGTAAACCTGAAGGAGGTCACGCAAGGCCTAAAGAACTTCCTTGAATAAAATTTCCTTCCTCTGAGGATTTACATATATAGTCTGTATATACTACATATATTTGTGATATACAGTACTCCCCCTTTGCTCACAGGGGATATTGGACGCCTGAAGCCTTGGATAGTACCCAACGCTATATATACTGTTTTTTCTTATACAAACATACCTATGATGAAGTTTAATTTATAAATTAGGCATGGTAAAAGATTAACAACAACTAATAATAATAAAATAGAATAATAATAGAACTGACATTAGAAACAATGCCCTAAGAAAAATGTATTCGTAAACATTCAGGGTAAGTTCTAAGGCAGGCACACATTTTGACCATCTGGTCTACCTGCCACATTTGCAACGCTGTGAGGTGAGGATAGATGTGAAAAACAGTGACCTGAGGGCACTAGGCAACCTGTACTGTAGATGTGAAGGGTCGTCTGTGCATGCATGTGTTTTAGGAAGATTTTTCAACAAGGGACTCAAAGAAAAAAAATCTAAACCCTTGATTAAGAAATTTTGTGAATCAGAACATTTCCTTACCCAAAACATCTGATTAACATATTTGTGCTTTGCTTGATTGGTTAATTCCTGAGGTTATGGAGACAGAAACCATAGGTAGGAATGAATATTTGCAGTCAGAAGTGACAAAGAAATGTGGTATATGGTGGGAAGCACACCTGGACATAGGTGCCAGGCACCAGTCATTATACCGGAAATATTGTTCACTTGTGTAAAAAACAACTGAAGGACATTCTCCAGCCAAAAGCTGACCAGTCCTACCCTGATTCTCCTGTATCTGAGACATATCACAACAGACCAGGGCCATGTCCTCTTCACAGAATATACGACAAATTTCCAGGGCAAAATGCCAAGGTAGAACTTTGTTAACATTTTTTTTTTTTCAAATTATTCCTCTACTATAAGAGGAGCCAGATTCAGAGACAAAGCATCTCTAAATTTACCTTCATTTTTCTTAGAGTTCCCTAAGCTTCAGAGAAATGTTTCACCAGTAGAAATATTTGTGGACATACTTACCAGAGTCTGCATAGAAGGTTCTTTTTTAGGCGTTTTATACCTGCTGGGGAGTGGATTGCTGAGAATATGTAGAGATGGAGTTCTTTATCATTAAGTTAAGTTTCATTTCAGCAACATACTTTAATATACCATTTCAAGAGCCATGCTGGGCTCAGAAAGAGTACAATGAAATGAGCTTATGAAAATCAAGTTTTCTCATTCCCCATTCATCTTAGTACATTAGCAGCACTTGGTCCAGATTTCACCTTAGGTGGTTTACTCTGGATGATTCTGGCTGTAATGTATGAATTAGGCAGAACTCATGGCTTGATTTTCACTTTCATCAGCTACAGCTGCCTTTGCAGAAGTGAAGACAGTAAAGAAACTTATGAGAATAAAATGACCATTGGGATGCTGAAGGACAGCATTTTAGAGATTTCCAATGCATTTTGTTTTATTTCTTTTCTTTTTTTAAAAAAAGGGAGCATATACATTTGTTTTATAATATTTTTCCTTGATTGATAATCAGAACTTAAATGTGTTGTCTGGTCACTTTATTACAATCTGTTCCACAGGGCAAAAAGGAAAGTTCTCCTGGCATCAGCGGGTCCTCATTAGCACACAAGCAAAGCATTCACCTTTATATCTAGGGTGTGAATACCCGACTTCATCGTCTTCTAGTGGTGAGTCTCCCGATCCTACAATAAAAAAGAACAGAAACTGCAGCAAGAAAGGCCACATAGTATGGACGCATATTTCAAAGCATTGCTTTGCCACAGACCATGCAAGAGGTGCTATTAGAATGCAGAGCCAAGAGCAAAAGCTTCTGTGGCCATTCGTAAAGGAACAAACAGGGGATCTCTCAGAGTGAAACTGGCTGAGCTGAGATTGCCAAAAGCCAATCAAAATGAGCTTCAAACTGTTTTGGAATCAACACATGCCAAGTGCAATTCTGGAATAGGGAAACAGAGAGTCAACTTCACTCTGAGAAGATGCCAGTGTATATGAATCTCATGCCAGGGGAGATGCAATAAAATATGTGCATCATATACAGTCCACAGTTTCCCCAGCAGTCAAAGAAAACCCAGTAGAACTGGGTGTTTATGGTACCTGAAAACAGGTCCATCTTGTGAAATAAATTTGAATGGAAGATAAGGAGGTAAATCAAATGTATTATGACAAAAGAAATACAAAGTTGCTTCCTTATACGGTATTTGTAGGAAATGAGGGCTGAAATAGACTGTGTGTTTATTTAGAATCTCTCATGAAGGCATAGCTTAAGTGAAATTTCTTAATGAGTCTTGCTACCAATAAAAACCACAGCCTCCAAGAGAATGTCTGTATATTGTTATAATTTAACTAATTTGTAACTTGGAGCTGAATGGTTTTAGAATATTAAATATTGAATTCCACTTAGCAGTGAATCCTTAATCCTTGAAGTGGTAGCAGATGCCAGACTTCAAAAGTGTAATCTTAAATTCAGAGAACTTCCGTCTACGCTTCATAGTCTAATCAATGACTTGAGTTAGCTCTATATCGGTCACGCATTTAACTGTAGTTACCTGCCACCACAACAGACAAGAACATCCTCCACTGTGAGGTTATTCAAATCCCCATGCAGCTAATGAGTAATGGTCCCTGTTCCACTTGTGTTCTGGATGACAGATGTAGAGTGTGGAAACTGAAAGTGGGGAGGAGATGAGGGCTGGACTATGTCCATTTAGAAAAGACCCCCAACTACAGAAGTGCAATTCTGTATTCTCCTTTGCTGCAGACTTCCTCACCTTGTCTCTGCACACCCAGACGTGTACAAAATCACAAACTATTCATTACTGCATATAAAAAAATGAGCACTGGAGCCAGACACAGTGGCTCATGCCTGTAATCTCAGAAACTAGGGAGGTTGAGGTTGGAGAATTACTTGAGCCCAGGAGTTCAAAAACAGTCTGGGTAACATAGTGAGAACCCATCTCAAAAAACAAAGCAATACAAAAAAATGAAAACCAGGAAAGCTACCTAACAACATAAATCAAAGGCCTATGCTCAAACCCTTTGATAAAGTCATTCCACTTATTGGAATCTACCCAAGGAAATAGTTGAATTGCATGTCAGCATATGAATTTTCAATCATCCAAATTAAAAAAAAAGAAAACTGGATACATGAGCAGCGAACTCCCCGCACCCAGCCCTCCAACACATATGTACACATGCACATACATTTTCCCCTCAGTTGTCATCCTGGTTAACTTGTCTACAGCATTTACAGCATTAAGTATGAATGACTACCCATTCATTTCATGAAGCTCTTTTCTGCAGTGGCTTTCAAATGACAACACTTCCCCAATTTTCTTCCCCCTTTCTAAACAGACTTTCTGGACAGCATATCTAGATCAGCCTGCCATTTGGACATAAGTATTTCCCAGGAGTCTAGTATTGGTCCTTTACGTATCCCCAGACATTTTCCTGGGCTATCTCACTCCCACACTTGCCTCAAACCATTCCCCATGTACTGACGACAAATCCATTGCTTCTAGCCTTGATCTTTCTCCTAAAAGCCAGGGTAGAATTTTCAACTGCTTTCTGAATATCTCCATACTCACACTCAACCTGTTCAAAACCAGATCCTTTTCTTATCACCAAAGCTGCACATCCTCCAGTGTTTCCCATTTCAGCAAATAAGCATCTTCCAGCTAGGCTCCTGGAAGATGGAAAATCTCAGCCTTTTTTCCTTCTATCTTCTTCATCTACCACATTCTAAGATAGAAATTAACTTAAATATTTGACTATAAGAAATGGTCGATCATATTATGATCCATTCATAACCTAATAATGTTCATTTTGAAGAGGTTTCTTAACATGGGAAAATATTACAGAATGCTGAATGAGTAAAGAACAAAGCATAACCCCCAAAATGCAAAAATGTATTAAGAAAGATTTTAAAATATGGCAAAGCTCATTTATGAGAACAACAATATGGTTAAATAAAACTAAAATAGTATTGTAAGCAAAGTAGGTCCCAGAAGACTATATACTATATATATGACTGCCTTTTTATAAAGTTCAAAAACTTCTAACACTAAATTGTTAGGAAATACAAAGCTATGTACTATAATTTTTAACAAAGCAAGGCGATCTCTTACCCTTTCCTAACCTTCTCTTCTTGAACAACTGAGTTCTAAAGCCTTTAGGTGAGACAGAGCAAGGCAGACATCTGTACCAGAAAGGACAGGGACATATGGCGGGGCAGAGCAGGATGGTTGACCCCAAATAGGACATAGAGGGAAAACAGGGGCAAAGACAGAATACACATGGGAGGATAGCCCAGCAGAGGAATCACAGACAAATAAGATAAGGAGGAGGGCTTTCACATGGATAAGGCAGAAGAAACCCTGGCACGGGGTTGAAAAGTACAGTTTCTAGATTACCTTATCCCTAGGTTGTGAAAGGGGCTACTTTTAGTGATTTGGAAGAAATCAAAGGGAAGGAACTCTTTTCTACAGTTGTGCATGCAGAAAATAGGCTTCACCAGATGTGAGTGTTATCAACTGTGCCCCGTCCCCTCATCAGCTTTGTGTGATAGGGAGGATGTGATGTTGGCAGTGGTGATAGCCATGGCAGCAACAGTTTTTTAGCCTGAGTAATAGGAGGAATTTCTGGCATCTTGATTGAAGTCATGGTGCCATTTGACCTGTCATGCAGACTTTTTAACTTCCATTGCTCCAGCCCTTCCAATTTTGTGGGTACCTTATTTCCTGCATTAAATTCTTTTTTGCCTAAAATACCTAGAGAGGAATGTGTTTCCCATATTAAACCTAACAGGGATTTAAGCAAACCAATTAAGAAATGAATGCATGGTTTTAGTAGCTTTCTCTTAGTTACTGGGCACTACCCTAACACAGGGCACACTGCTATCTACCCACAAGTCTTTTGAAGACAAGAGATGGGACTTTTATGTGAATATAGATGAGTAAGGAGGAAAAAAGAAAGAAAACCTGCTAGAGTCAAATGTATTCTTTTTCTGAATAGGTCTCTCTACTAAGCTAAACACTAGCTAATTTCTAAGCAACTGAATTCACGTGGGAAGGGAAGTAACACACACTGAGTGCCTATGATATGTGTATTATGCTAGGCAGTTTCTATGCACTATCTCATTACATCTATACAATAACACCAGCCAGTTGGTACTATTTTATATTTATCAATAGGGAAATCAAGTCTCTAAGGTCTTTAACTACTTGTCCAAGGTTATGCAGCCAGTAAGTGGTAAATCAGGGATTCGAATCCAGTCTGCCTGGCCTTCAAATCTATCATTCTTTTTCACTAGGCCTTACTGCATTCTGCTACTACAATTTCAAAGAAATGAGATCGCTGGCTTTTGAATCATTGATAGGCAAAAAGCAAATGGCTTCTTCAGTAGTGTGAGAACAAGTATACCAAGAGTTGGTCCCTCAGAAGCAAAATGAAGAGCCCATGTGTAGTAGAAGGGGCTGGTTGCCTGTCTAGCAGCCATTCTCTTCCTTCTTACTAAAAGATCACAGGTTGTGTTCAGCAGCAATGTGTCCCTCCCCAAAAGATGAACCATGATGACTCTAAGGCAAAAAAATAATTCCTCTTTGCCAGGAATTGCTGCAGGGATAGGCATGTAACCCAATATTAGACAATGGCAAGTAAAACGAAGTCTGCTTTAGGGATGGGGGGAGGGAGCTTATGGGAAAGATTTTTCTCCCTAATAAAAGAGAAAACTGCATAAGGAGACTTTCCCTCTTCTCCCTTCCAGCTTTGGAGGCTATTGTGTAAGGATAAATGCCAAAAGCTGCAGCAGCCATTTTGCAACCACAAGGTAAGATGTCACAGGACTGAAGATTTTCAGCTTAGAATGGCAGTGTGTATAGATAAAAAGAACCCGGAATCTTGATGACCTCACTAGACTACAGTATCAACCTTAGACATTTTACCCCCACAATTCTTGTTAGATCAACAATAAAGGTTCTTTCAATATAAGCCACTGTGAGTAGCATTGTTACTTGCAACTGGGTGCATCTAAACTGATACACAAATGAATGAAAACTTTCCTGTGTATTCTTGTTAGGTTTTTGTTTTTGCTTTTGTTTTGAGACAGGGTCTCGCTCTTTCACCCAGGCTGGACTGCAGTTGCATGATCCCAGCTCACTGCAGCCTCCGTCTCCCAGGTTGAAGCGATTCTCATGCCTCAATCTTCTGAGTAACTGGGATTACAAGTATGCACCACCACACTCAGCTAATTTTTGTATTTTTAGTAGAGACAGGGTTTCACCATGTTGGCCAGGCTGGTCTCAAAGTCCTGATTTCAAGTGATATGCCCGCCTTGGCCTCCCAAAGTGCTGGGATTACAGTTGTGAGCCACTGCTCCCAGCCTTGATAGATGTTTTTTAAGTGAAAAGAAAATAAATGGGTATTAACTGCCACTCTCAGAAAATTTCCACTTTATTTTCAGCCTGAGCTCATATTAACTTCTATAAAAATACGATGACTAGTCTGCAAAATAGACATCCTGATACAATAATCTCAAAGACAGACTCACTTATGTTCAGTAGACTATACTTACTAAAGCAGCAAAGTAGATTCATGTACATTGGGGAAAGATTTTCCCCACCATTAAAATTTTTTAAAAGGAAGAAAAATAAAGAAGTTGAAGAAGAAGGGAGGAGGGAGGTTTCTT